TTCTCTCTCTCTCATTCTCTCTCTCTCAAATAAATAAATAAAAAATCTTTAAAAAAAAAAAAAAAAGAAAAGTAAATAGGCTGTTAGAGCGCAGGTTATTAAGTGCTGCAGTGGAAGAAATCCAAGAGGCTGTGGCTCATAGGAAGAGCACTTAACCAAGCAGCCAGTCAAGAAACCAAGCTTAGTGGGTACGAGTTCTGGGTAACTGAAGTAAGTGTGTGTGTGTGTGTGTGTGCGTGTGTGTGTGTTATGTTCATATGCGTGTTGAGGAGTCACAGAAAAGGATAGAAGGGGTCCCATGGACAGAGGCCCAGGGGCAGAGATTACAAAGGCAAATATAGTGTATGGCTTGGACAGAGTGCTCAGGAGGGATTAGATAAAGATAAAGTCAGATCAGAACAAGCCTTGTATCCCACGTTTGATCTGCACAGAGTTTGAAATCCAAAGGGTATAATCCAGAGGTTTGGCCAAGCATGGGCATGGAGATGTATGCTCAGTCTTCGTGGAGAGCTCAGGTGATCATGACCCAGGCTCCAGGGAAACCCACCAAAGTCTCAGCTTTTCACGGTATGTTCCATGCGATGCTAAAATGGAGCCAACGAAAGTCAATTTGCAGTTACATTTCATAATAACACTTACCTCACAAGCCAATTATACTTTTTATATGTGATCATCTTTAATCCCTTACAACCATGCTGGACGTAGGACAGGTCATGAGCTTTGGAGATAGACAGGGGAAACCTCAAAACCTTCAGCATGTTACTTACCCCCCTGCATCTCGGTCATCATCACCGGTAAAGGGGAAATTAGCTGCAAACTTTCATCTTAATCCTTCTAAAACTAAGAGCATTTTAACAAGTTTGCTTGTTAAAGTTGACCTAAACTGACAGGAAACTAAGGTTTTTATTTACTGTCTTATTATGAATATTCTTACATTTTGCTACAGAATATTGATGGGTTTGATTATGGGGATGTTAATAGTATGTTATCATCTTAACTTCCTAATATCTGTAAAATTCTGAATTCAAAAATGCATCTAACCTAACAGTTTTGGATGAGGAAGGAATTTGAGGAGTTGTAATATACGTAAAACATAAGATATATAAGGTAATGTACATAAATTTAGGGCCTCCCTAGCACAGTGACTGGCACATAGGAAGGGCTCAGAAATTAGAACTATTATCAAAAAGAGAGAGTAAGCCATCACAGACTTCATAAAACAAGGCATGAAGGAAATGAAAACATCTTATAGGAAACACATGTTTTCTATCTCTGGCCACCCACATTTTTACAATTATACTTTTGAAAATTTGGGGTGATTTAATTTTTCTAAACGTGATCATAGGCTTTGCCATTATTCTCTTATTCACAGCAGGAGGAAGAAAATTCAGAGTATCTGTTACAGATGCTAACAAAGGCAGATTTGGGGAGATTCTGGGAGAGGAAACAGCACCAGCAAGGGCCCAGTAGAGTGGAAGAGGTGTTCAGATAAGAGGAAGTTTATTCCCCTTCTCAAACTCTGGAACCCAAGGAGCATGGCACAAAATGGGGACAAATGAAGTTTGGGAGAAATTTTATGAAAAGCCTTGAATACAGTGGTAATTTTGTATTTTATCCTATAGATCAGGGGTTTTCAAGCCACGTTAGCAAGAGAATTTTGTTTTGTTTTGTTTTGTTTTGTTTTAAGTAGATTCCATGCTGAACCCAATGCAAGGTTTGAGCTCAAGATCCTGAGATCAAGACCTGTGCTGAGATCAAGAGTCTGACACCCAACTGACTGAGCCAGCCAGGCGTCCCAAGTGAATTTTGTTGAAGTAGAATTTAATTTGCCTGGGAACTCTACACTGCAACCACCCACCAACTCATTTTTACTCTATGGCCCAAGTGCTCTTTTTATTTATTTTATTTTATTTTTTATTTTTATTTTTATTTTTTTAGAGAGGGGAAGAGGTGGGGAAGGGTGAGGGAGAGGGAGAAAGAGAATCTTAAGCAGGCTCCATGCCCAGCATGGAGTTCAATCTTATAACCCTGAGATCATGACCTGAGCCAAAATCAAGAGTCAGATATTTAACAGACTAAGCCACCTGGGCACCCTCAAGTGCTCTTTTTATTTTTTTTTTAAGATTGTATTTACTTATTTGAGAGAGAACACAAGCAGGGGAAGGGTCATAGGGAGAAGCAGACTCCCCACTGAGCAGGGAGCCCATTGTGGGGCTCAATTCCAGAACCCTGGGATCAGGACTTGAGCTGAAGACAGATGCTTAACTGACTGAGCCACCCAGGCATCCCTCAAGTGCTCTTTTTAAAAGAGCAAATCTGATTATCTCATTTCTTAGGATGCACTTGTCAAAGAGATCTTACCAAGCTTGGTGTAAAATGCCATCTCCCTGCAGACTCGGGGTGATGTAGCCCTGTGCACCTCCCCAGCTCATCTTACACCATCTCCCTGGCTTAACCACTGGTCAGTTCTGCAGTGAGCCATGACCCTCCCACATCAAGGATCTTTAAAGGATGTCCTCTCCTTTGTTTCTCTCTCCCACTTGCCCTAGTGAGCTCCTACTCTTTCCAATCTAAGCCTTCTTTTCTGAGGGGAGTCTTGCCTGGCTTGGTCAGGACCCCCTGTGTTATACTCTCCCACATCCTGGGGACTTCTCTGTTCAGCACTTAATCACGGTCATGTTAAATGATTAGCTGCGGATTTAACTGTCTGGTGCTTTCTCCCCACTATGCTGTCAACTTTGAGAATGGGAAGTGGCCCCATCTGACTTGTCCCTGGCCAGTGTCTGGCTACTAAGCAGGGGGAAGACAAATGGGGGAGGAGGCCACTTTGGTAGGAAAGAAGATGAAGCGTTTAATTGAAGCAAGAATGCCAAACCTGGGCTACTTCCCACAAGTCCTTCTCCTCACCATCCACAGGGGTCTCTGAGGCTCTTCTTGGTGGGGAACACTCTGAAGTGGTAGATAATGGGATGCTCTGACTACCAAAAGGCTTTGTAATTTGGCTTTGGAATGCGTGTTCTCAAGATAGTTCTCTTGGCCTAAGGAAACTTTCTGCTTGATGGTCAACAGAATGGATCAATGATCAAAGTAGTTTTGCAGAAACAAGAAGCATATTTCATTCATTTATTTCAACATCTCATCTCTCTTGGGAAAGGAAAGACTATAAAAGACATCTGTAGACTGGTCTGAATTTTATTCTTTTGTGCAAGACTGGGTTTAGAGTAGATGTTTCTTTGGAAAGTAATCTTGGCCTAGGCCCACACCAGCGAGAAAACTGCCTCCATATTCTGTAGAGCCATGCACACATTGACCCCTGCCTGGGTCTGCAGTCATGGGACACAGGGCAGATCATGTGACCCTAACACTCCTTTGGTGTGCTTAGCTGTAATGGAGCCAAGGGATCCCTTTCTCTGTGAAATAGGGCCAATCAAAGTAAAAATTACCTTTTGATTGAGTAGCGTTGCTGAAGAAAATCAATAGAAAGGGCTCGAAATCCACTGGTACCATTTCATTGCTAAGTGTTGTAGACTTCACATTACAGGAACGCTGGGTTTCAGGGTTCAACGTCTGTGAGGCCAGCTGAAAATACACAGCAGAGTGGGTTAAAGGAGACGGAGTCTGTCTGTGCAGCCCTAGATTAAAGGGAAAATGTGTGCTGGCCAGAAGTAATTTTTCAACCTCCAAATATTCTTTCCAGATTCTAAGATCCTGTGTTTGACATGTTTAAGAGAGAGATATAACAGCTGAAATTGTCTTTGTTCAGAATGTAGGAGACAGTTTCGTCTAGACTTTCAGGAAAGATAGAGAATGACATTTTCAGAGCAAATCAAAATACATTTTCAAATTCTTTTTTTCCCCTTCAGGAAGAGGACTTGACATGCTTTTCTGATTTGAATTTGGTGGGTCTATAAATGACTTCAGTCGTTTGATACAAAACTGTAATAAAATGAGCCATTGAGAAAAGTTACTGAAAATGCCATTAGTTCACTTTCTTACCTTAACAATAATATTAGCACCACCGCAGACAGCACAACTAATATTTATGGAGTGGTTTCTAAGTATTGACATACATGTTTTTTTATTTAGTTCTCAGAGCAATCCCATGAGGTATGCATTATTATGAATGCCAGTTTTCCAATGAACAAACTGAGGCACAGAGAGTGAGGGGTGACTCGCCCGAAGCCGCACAGCCTTAGGCAGCCAGGCCAGGATCCGACGTCCCTCGAACCTTCTCTCCTCACCACTGCACTTGTGTCTTCTTTCCCAACAGGGCCAGCATCGTACAGAAACGCATCATTTATTTCCAAGATGAGGGCTCTCTGACCAAGAAACTTTGTGAACAAGGTAAGGACTGCAGGTGGAGGAGGAGCCAGAGAAATGGAAGGGGGCTCATTCAGTCCAGCCACCCAGTGGCAGGACTTCGGTGATTGGGCTTTCTGAGCTTCTCCAGGTTCTGCTCCCTCACGTAGCACTGATTTTTAATCTGGCTGTGTGCAGTGGATAATTGGATATGCGTTAAGCTCTAATTACTCAGCTTTGATTCCCTGGGTAGAAGATAATGTACCTTATATTGGTGTCGTCTTCTTATTTTTGTGAAACAGTGATTATTCTAAAGAGGTTCCTTGGAATAATTCACAGGACTTAATTAAGAAATGCACAATTGTGTACCTTTAAGATGTCTTTAATCGTTCTCTGGAATAATCACCAGCAGAACTTGTGAGGCACCTGGGCAACATGGGGGGATTTTCTCCAAGAAAGACAAGCGGGAGGTGGGATTGCCGAGGGAGCATTGACCTTATGAGTTTGCCACATTCAAGGACGTGGCCGTTAGGTTTGCAGGCTTATTGTTGCCCTCTCCTTGGGTTGAAGGCACTCTAACAAAGCTCATGGAGATCAAGTAGACTGGCAGATCAGAGAAGAGGCTGGGATTCAGATCCAGCCTGGGTTTGAATCCTCACTCTGCCCTTCCCAGCCCTGTGACTTAATATATATTTAAAATAGTACAGCGCCTCCTTGGCACATAGTAAATGCTATATATATATTATATATATATATATATATATATATATATGTAATATATATATGTGTGTGTGTTAGCTATTGTTATCTGTATGCAAAAGCTTGTTTATTAATCCATCATAAAAAATTAGGACTTTTAACATCTGAATGTGTTTACAAGTCATTAAAGAACTAAATAAAAATAGAAAATGTTCTACAATTATATATCTTAACTGTCTAATGTCTATTCATTTTTGCAGAATTTTTATTTGCATTTAGAGCAGTTAGCATTTTGAGAGAAATAATCTCCAATTCTAGTAAATCATAAGCTGCTGAGAGAAAGAAAGTTTCATATGGGTCTTCTGGGAAAATAATAATAATAGCTAATATTTTTCAAGTGCTTTGCTATATGCCAGGCACTATTCTAAGCACTTCACGTGCCTTGCTCATGCGCTCTGCATAACAGCCCTATATGGTAAAGACTGTCAGATCATCCCTATTTTATAGGTGAAACGTCTGAGACATGGAAAGTTTTTAAAATCTCACTTAGCATCATACAGCTCGTGGTCGAGAACAGGGTTTGGACCTAGGAGCCAGTGTTCTTAGCCACTGCCTGTCTGTTGAAGGGACTACATTTCAGTGCGTTGTACCAAAGCATAGCTCCCTCTGGACGAGTGAGAGCAGAAACTAGGTTCTATGTGGAAGATGGCTTGGAAAGCATGAAAAGAGCAGAGGGAGAGAATTGGACACCTGCATTAGGGTTATACCTGTCGTAGGGGCCAGAGAGCTAGAACCTGGGGGCCAGGTGTCTAGTCAGCTTCCAGGTGGACATGACCACACACGGCTTTGGGGGCCTTCCTTTTTGTATTTAATTACTCAGCCTTTTTGCTAGCACAGAACATCTTGACTATTGAGGCTCTTTGTTCCTAAAGTACGGTCCCCTTCCTGCCCTCTCTCCATGAGATGACATGCAGGTCCATGAGGTAGAGTCAGAGTGTTCTGGATCACACATTTATAAGCCACCTCTAGATCTACACCCATAGATGGCTAATCACAGCCACTGTGGTCTGGTTTTGTTAGCTTGACATTCAGAGGACAGTCTTATTTCCCAGATTTGAGGGTTCTTAGGAAACACTTTGCTGTCACCCCCGCATACGGACAGCAATCATTAACTAAAGTGCGCTTGCCAGAGCCTCAGCCCTGATGTTGTGTGAAGCTAGACAAATATGCTAAATTCTGCAGATGCAGTGTCAAATGGCATGCAAGTCTGTATTGGTTATCGCTTCTGAAGCGGAGATCCTATCAAAATGACTAAACATGCCTATGTATAAGAAGATCGTTTTCCAACAGCAACTTTGTGGGCAAAAAAAGGTCCTGCAGGCCCTGGGCTGAAGGATCATTACGTGCAGTTTTAGACCATCCCCAGAGACAGCAGACCCATGAGGAAATCCCACAATTAGAAAAGCAGATCACCTTAAGAAAGTCTTTAATTTGTAAGCAGAGAGCAAAAGGATTTCTCTTAAATGTGTATGCCTACTTAATTATCTCTAGCTCTTCCATTAAGGTCTTTACATTCTCAGCTTCCTTGGTGAGCCAGATCAAATCTATTAAGGAAGGAGAGAAAGAAACTAGTATCGAGTATTTTTTCTCAGTTGAAGCTGTGCATCCATAGGGGAAAAATTAACAACTGCAAAGATAAAAGGCAATGGCAATCATTATTTTTTTTAAAGAAACATAAAACATTAAGTTACTTACAAGTAGGAACAGAGAGACATAAAATATTCAAAAAGGTGACCTATACGAAACACATACATGCCCATGTTTACTTGAATACCACGTCACAAACGATGAAGTGAGAGAGATAGAGAAGGAACGCAGAGAAGGAAGGAAAATGTGGGAAAGAAGGAATAAGGAGCAAAGGAAGACTAAGGGGAGAGCTGAAAAGGAAGAAGCTAATGGATGGAGAGTAGAAATGAGAGAGGGGGCAGCTGGGGGATCAGCACGGCCGGAAGTCCCCCATATTGGGCAGGCCCTGCTGCGGTTAGCAGAAGAGGGGTGAGTTACCTCCGGTCATCATCACCCTTTAAAAACCTGGTTCCTTTTCAATAGGCTTTTCCTCAAAGGGAACAGTAGGTCTGTTTTTAGTTTCAAACTTAGAGCCTTATTTTTTAAATGGAAGCCAATTTTCCTTTGGAATTCCAAAAGGTTTATTGTAAGTGTATTCCCCTGAACTCCTGAATATATCTTTAAGTTTACTACCCATATCTGAAAGCCCTTTTGAGAAGGTAAAGCTACCAATTTGCCTTATTTTGGTTTTTTTTGAGATTGCTCCATCATCAAATGGCACCTGGGAGCTACAATTGAAACCTCTCCATGTATCTCTCAGCTTGGAATCCCTTTTTCAAAATTAATTTAGTTCTTTTATAACATAGTTGATCATAATAATAATAATGGAAATGTAAAAGGAAAAAAATCTTTAAGAGTTCCTAATTTACGCTACCTTTCCTGAAATATATTCAATAGGGCTTGTCCCTTAACTATCAAAGTGGCTTACACAGGAATGGTACCTGGGTTTCATGTGCATTAAGCAACAGAGAGCCTGCTCCTAAGCACAGACAATGCGCGGGCCTCTTCCAAGTGTAGAGAAAAAAAATAGCCAAACAATGATTTCTATTTTGGGTGGTTTCAGACCTCTTCTTTGGTGCTGTTTAGAAACCCTGGAGCTATATAGGGAGGCCATATTTTAGATGCACCAGCCTTCACTTGAAAAAGCATAGAGAAATACACACACAAAAATTACTCTCATTGGTGTTTATGCAGACCTATCCAGCAGAAGGTCCTTCCTGGAGTGATACAGCACAAAGATTAAGAACCTGGACTCTGGACTCAAAAAGGCCTGAGTTCCAGTTCTGCCTGCAAACCTACTAACCCTGTGACCTTGCACTGGTTACCTAATTGCCTCAGTTTACTGATCTGCAAAATGGTGTTAACTAAAGTACTTACCTCCTACGGTTGCTAGGATTAAATGAGACTGTGCATGGAAAGAGATCAGCACCTACAAGGACTCTATACAATGTTGTTATTATTACCATATTTCATACTTTTGCTCCATCCTAGAGTGCAGAATTCACTTCTTCTATCCATCACTGATTTTGCATGTTCAGACCAAAGGTACCCAGTGAATTCCACAAGGAAGACTTTTAAATGCTCTTCCTGACACTCAAAAAGATTTTTATACTGTCACTGCTCTTTATATAATATTTAAGAATAAATGTCCAACTTGCAAAAAAAAAAAAAAAGAACCTTTATGTTAATACCACTGGAGAAACCAAAGAAAAAGTAGCTGAAGCAAGTTGCATCTGTAAGCCTTTGTTTGGTCTTGCAGGAAGCAGAACAGACTTAAAGCAACAATGCAGTTAGGGATGGGAGCTTGACAATCGGAAATACTGAATTTATTCATGTAATCTCTCTTTCCTCACTTATCAGCTATTCACAGATAAAAATGGGGACAGAGAAGGAATCTTGTTAAGTTTTTCCTGGCTGCTGCTGTGCTCAGAAGTAAACCTGAACTTACCAACATCGTCCTAAACCCTCACCCCTCCCAAGTCTCTGAAAGCTTGATAAGAAGGGATGTGACTATATATGCATTTTTTACAATAGTTTTCGGCAGTCCTTCATGTCTGTCTACTTGTTCTCACTGCTCCTCTGCAAAGCTGTTCCTTCTGGTCCTGGCAATTCAGCCCCAGAGAACATTTCTTAGAGAAAACACACACATGCATATTCCTCTTAAAATTTAGTGGGAAAGTCCTATTGTGGGAAAAAAGGATAACAGGAAATTTTATCCCTGGTTTCCTAAATATTCAGCCTTATTGGTCTCACAGGTCTCCTCACATTGTTAGAGCAAAAAGTTCTGAGTCTTTTTTATTTGCAGAATATAATTACCATACTTAGAGTTATATAAAAATCCTTTATAGCCCAAGTACTGACCTGGTTCTGGGTGTTGTTAGTCGATGAAAACTGCACGTCATCTTCTTTTCCCAAGCCTTAAGGACAGGATAAGACCAAGAGGGTGCTGCCTTATAAGTGACCCACATTTGTTTCCTAATTTAGTGATTTCCCTGACTGTTTCAGATTCCATGTTTGACGGGGTGACTGACAAACCAATCTTAGACTGCTGTGCCTGTGGAACTGCCAAGTACAGACTCACATTTTATGGGAATTGGTCCGAGAAGACGCACCCAAAGGATTACCCTCGTGAGTAGAGTAGACACCTCGTGGATTGGGGGAAGGCGTGCAGTGAAGTTGTCTGGTTGTGGGGTAAACCAGCCGAAGTATGTCAGGTCTATTGGCTTTTACCAGCTGACTCATGAAATACACATTCCCAGAAAGTGAATTCATCAAGATTAGCAGATATAATACTGGTATGCTTTGAGCTTTCGTTGCATAGCATTGTTCTAATCTGTGATTTAAAAAAATATTTTGAAGGTCATGCTGCTTATCTTCAGGTCAAGCATTTGGTAACCTCAGTCCCCCTAAAGAGGCTCTATCCATGAATTACACAATAGATCTATCTGTGCTGGAAATAGCTGGCAAGAAGGACCTGCTCTTGACTCCACAGATTAAGGTCAACAAACATTCAACATCCTCAATCATAATGCTGGTAATCTATCTGCACACACTTTCCCTACGGATTCCAGATACCACCTTACAATCCTTCATGACACCATGCTCCAGATAGCCAATACCAATCCATAGGAGTTGTTAAGAGGCCTCAAACTTGCTATTTTGGAGAAGATCCTTAATCAGGACCCTACCAACTCCCTTTTAGCATATGATCATCTCAACAAATACCTAGCATGTGCCAGGCACCATGCTAAGCTCTAGCGATATAATAGTGAACAAAAAAAGACACAACCCATATTCTCATACAACTCAGAGATTTGTGGGGAGACAGGCACTTACTGAATAATCACACACAAAAATGTGAAAATTCTAATGATGAGTAGTGGACCTACCGTGTGCCAAGCATTTGTATATATGTTATGTCATTTAATCCTCAGAATAACCTGTGTTTGTGGATGAGCTCACTGAATATCAGAGAGATGTCATGATTTGCCCCTAGTCAGATGTAAGTTAATAGTGGATCCAAGATTTGAAAAGGGATTTGTCAGGCTCCTTGGACTGCCTTTAAGACCCAGTGACGCTCATTCTCTCTAACTGTGGGTGGCAGGCTGTTGGTGTGGGGCACTGAGCACGATTTTTCTGTTCGTTGTCTGTTTTATTCTTATTCATTTCACTTTTGAGTTGCCACAGCTGGGAAAGACAAGTGGAACTGGGAGAAAGAGATTAAAAAGAGGGATTTGGGTCAGCCCCTAAAAAGGGGGAGCAAAGGGTACGTAGTTGGGACTTAAGAAGACCTGGTCCAGACCAGAGCCTCCATAGTCCCCAGGCAGCCCGCCCAGCAGGGACTTGGCAGATCAAGATTATTTAATTTTACCCACATGTAATCAAGACTTGGGATCTTAGAAGCTTCTTCCTAGTTCATTCTTCTCACTCTGGGATTCAGCTTGATCTGCTTCAGCTGGTGTGGGAGACCTGTGTGAACAAAGTTGGACTCTCTTCCTGGGGAGGAAGAAACCACTTGGAACAAGGATGATGGAAAAAAATTTCCTCCAGTGCCTCCAGTCCACTAACCCAGAGGAAATAAAATGTTAGGGGCCCATTACTCATCTTTCGTAATCCTAAGGAGCTTCTTGTGCTGTTCTGTTGTGACACTGTTATTCCCCAGAATTTGGGGGGAAAAAAAAAAAAAGTACAGACCGTTGTTTCTGGGTCTTTGGGCCAAATCAAGTACAAATCTATTCAGAATTTCTGTGGAGTTTTTGGGAGTTTCTTAATAAAACAGACATGTGCTCTAGATCCCCCAGGATTGTTCCTTTGTCAGATGTCAGTGTATCTTATTTTGGGGTTGGAAAAATCTGGTCACTATGTACAGAGGAGCGTTTATCACATTGGACTGTAATTATTTCTTAAGGAGTCTTTCTTCTCTATCAGGCAGAGCAGTCCTCTAGAATAAAAGCCATGACACACTCATCTTTCATTCTTAGTGCCTTGGAAGTGCTTGGTGCCTTCCCAAGTATTAGGTACTGATTGTTGAATTCAGAGTAGTATTCGCTGAGACCTGGGAAGCAGATTTCTAGCTCGCATCTAGTCACCATGGCCAATACTGATGAGGAATTGTAGGCCAGACCTTCCTTAGAGGGAAAGGGGTCAGAGGATTGGAGCCAATGGGAAGGACACAGAGAGGGTCTAAGAAGGACTTTGAAAATTCGATGCTGGCAGAAGTGATTTCTAATCTTAAGTAATAGATGACTTTCCTTTTGCTGCTCCAGGGATGATCTTGTCTTGATAACCAACCATTGCCATGAAGCCCAATTAAGTCATGATGCTTCCCAACCATAGTGCAAACTGATAAATGTCAGGTCCCTCTCCCCTTTATTATTGCTCATCCCAAATACCACTTTGTCCACAAGGATCTCAGAGCAGCAATTCTCAAGCTTTTTAATTTCAAGATGCTTAAAAATTATTGAGAACTGAAACATCCTTTTGCTTATATGAGTTGTGTCTATCAAAATTCAACATATCAAAAATTAAAACAGAAGTTTTAAAATATTACTTATTAATTAATTTAAAAAGTAACATATAATGAATTAGCAATAATAAACCCATTACATGTTGGGCGCCTGGGTGGCTCAGTTGGTTAAGCAACTGCCTTCAGCTCAGGTCATGATCCCAGGGTCCTGGGATCGAGTCCCACATCGGGCTCCCAGCTCAGTGGGGAGCCTGCTTCTCCCTCTGACCCTCTCCTCTCTCATGCTGTTTCTCTCTCACTCGCTCTCTAATAAATAAATAAATAAAATCTTTAAACGCATTACATGTTAACATATTTTATGAAAATAATTATATTGTCTAAAACAAAAGAAATTTAGTGAAAGAGCATCATTGTTTTACATTTTTGCAAATCTCTTTAATATCTGACTTAATTAGAAGACACCTAGATTTTCCTATTTGCCTCTGCATTCAACCTGTTGTGGTATGTTTTTTTGGTTGAAGTATATAAAGAAATTCTATCTCACACAGATATGTAACTGGAAAAAGGAAGAATATTTTAATAACTTTTTCATTAATTACAGATAATCTTCTTTGATACTATACCAAAACTCTACAAAGGGTAGTTTCTTTTTTTTTTTAAGATTTTATTTATTTATTTGAGAGAGAGAGAGAGCAGAGAGCACAAACAGACAGAGGGAGAGGGAGAAGCAGGCTCCCCACTGGGCAGGGAACTGATGCCGGGCTCCATCCCAGGACCCTGGGATCATGACCTGAACTGAAGGCAGACGCTTAACTGACCGAGCCACCAAGGCATCCCCAAAGGGTAGTTCCTTAAAGGATAATTACAGTGTAGAACATGAAACCGTAGCATTAAACGTGTACTCTGTTACATTAAAATGCATTGCTTTACTTTGCACTTTGAATGAATCTTTTACAAATAAATGATTTTGTGACATCATACATTGGTCATTTGGAACATACTGGTTTACCAAGTTATGCAGATGGTCCAGATGTTGAGACATCAAAAATCACATTCATTAATATTGCTTCCATTCTCATCAGAAACATGTTTAAGCATTAGAAAGCTACCAGATTCATAGTGACAGATACAAGTTTTCCAAAATTCTAAGTTTTGCTTGAAAGTTTGAATTTCGTCATTGGCAACGCATCCTGTCTGTTGTTTTCCTCGAAATGACAAGCTCACTTCATTTTTGAGAAAACGTCTACCACATTCTCCAGTTGGAATAGCCATAATTTGTCTGTCATTGGTTCTTTCAAGTAAAAATGACGTTTATGAAAATAAAAGTGTCCAGTCCAGCTTGCAAGAGCATTTACTCAAGACAATCATCATATCTGAGTATATACAGAAGTGTTTCGTGCATGTTCCCCAGTTAGTCACACAGAATGGGAGAAAAATGTGTACTCAGACGTGCAGAGACTAATACATAACATTAATAATTTTTATTGTTTCATCAAAAACATTCTAAAGTGAAGCTGACTCTTTGCATTGTTTCCTGCGGCTCCTGGCAGTGACTGCTGACAACCTTCGAGGCCACTGCTTGGATGGGCGCTAAGTGACAGCGGGTTCACGCTTTAGCACCATCAGGGTGAAGGCCAACATGTGGCGAATGTCTCAGTATTATTGTGAAAATAGTTTTCACCTCACAGACCCCCTGCAAGGGCCTCAGGGTCTCCAGAGGTCTGTAGACTGCACTTGGAGAACTTCTGCCGTAGGATAGGATAGCACCCTAAGGTGTCTGTCCTTCAGTTCTCTTTGGGTGACTTGCCCTGGAGAATTTGTATTGGGCTCTACAAGAGGATTGGGCAACGCCCTTGTGCCTTCAGTCCTTGCTTGTGGGGGCCACATCGACAGGTGGCTCTTCTCAACCACTGTACAAGACAGTTGGTCCCAAATGCTGTTTCTGGGGTTCCCTTTCTTAGAGAACAGAGGACTCTGCATCCATGACATCCCCCTCCCTGGGAGAGGCTAGGTGTGGTGAAATCAGGAAGACGAGGTGATGGCCCAGGCTGACATCCCCTCGCCATTGTAATGCCGTAAACCTCTGCTGCCCATCTGGAAGTAGTGAAATCCTTTTAAAACACCCCCAACTGGGTAGTTTCGAAATCCATTTTAAGGCTGGGTCTTGCAAGTTTTACCTCCTAATTTTATAAGTGAAAAAAACCTGAAGCACAAAGTTAAGGGCTCAGATCATATAGCCAGAGAGTTTCAGAAACAAAATCAAAGCTCAGATCTCTTGATTCCCTTTTGCCTTCTTCTGGGCGCTGTCACAAGGCCGTCTTCTCTCCTCTGCAGTGAAATTCAATGTCTCATACACAAAGCATCTTTTAAGCATCTGCTGTACCCATGTGGACTCAGCCGATACTAAATTCTGAACAGCTTTGCCCCACTGTGCAAAGACCTCCCCTCTAGAGATCCTAACTTAGAAGTCAGAAAGAGAATGTCTGGATTCACTGAGCCTGAACAGAGTTCCAGAACCCTGAAGTGTTAGGAGAAGTGCAAGCAAGCCCCCCAGTGTCTGTCCTCTGCAGTCTTCAGCGTCCAGAAGCCATCCAGGAGCTTGTGTCCTTTACAGGACATGGTGGCCAGGCAGGGTCACCTCAGAGGGATATCCCAGGGTTTG